CAGTGGCCCTCTCTCAAGACCTCATTGGCTTGTCAAGAGAACGTTGGGAAGGTACCCTTACTACTGGAGCTACTAGCAGCAACATTGTTGCGCTTTGTTGCGCACGAGAGGCGGTGCTCCGACGTCTCATGTCTCGCAGCAAAGCGAGCAATGCATCCGGAGCTATTGAGATTCAAGAGTGGTCTCTTGCCGAACACGGCATCGGTCCAGATACTCCTGCAGTCAACATCTTTACAGCCTTGCCGCACAACAGCATCGCCAAGGCTGCTGCTATCACCGGCATCGGTCGCCAACGAATCGTAGACGTGTCGCGCCGCTCTCGAGCGGCCGATGAGGGACAAACAGATCAGAAGGTCCAACGATGCCAGGCGCAAAAGGAAGCAGCCTGCCTCGAGGTGGATTTGGAGAGACTTGAGGATGCTCTGCGGAAAGCACAGCGCGCAGAGCAGGGCGCGATCGTTGTCATCGGCATGGGCGAGGTCAACACGGTGAGTCTGCAAATCGCAGCGCTGCTGCTAACCACTGGATGCTGATGTGCACTTCAACGGGCACAGGGAGCTCTATGTGGCCAATTGCGTGATATCCGAATTCTTTGTGACGAGTATCACGCCTGGCTTCACGTCGATGCAGGTGAGCTTCAATGCAAGGTCATGAGGATGCAAACTCCTCGAGCACTAGATGCCTGACATGAAAAGGCCTTCGACTTCGTTTGCAAAGCTTTTGCCGCATTTGCGTGCCTCGTGCCAGGATTCGAGTGGGTCTCGAGTGATCTGGACTTGGCTGACAGCATCACGAGCGACGCTCACAAGCAGCTCAATGTGAGGTGTCTCACCGCAAGAGAGCTGTGATGTGTGCAATAGTCTGACACTCTACTCTTCCGGTGGAGGGGCGCAGGTACCTTACGACTGCGGTTTGTTCTATAGCCGACGCAAGACAGCCGCTGGAGCAGTCTCCGCTCTTATCGAGCACGCATCACAAAGTCCGATAGATGCTGTATTTGGTCCGGGTGCAGGACCAAAGCCGGCGTATCTGGTCGGATCCTCTACCTCGACGAGCGAAGCAGAAGATTCGCGCATGCTGAGCGAAGCGGAACAGCGTCGGCAATACGCCATGTCACAGCCCTCGCCGCTCTTTCGCAACATTGAGAATTCAAGAAGGTTCAGAGCTTTGCCGCTGTACACGGCCCTCTTGTCGCAGGGCCGCAGCGGCTACGTCGCCCTAGTGAAGCGCAACGTCGAGTTCGCCAAGCGCCTTCGCCGATGGCTCAGGCTTCACCAAGCATTCGAGGTGCTCACTCCTGCGCCCGATGATAAGTTGACACCACAAGATGCTAGCCGAGCTAGTCGTGTGCCCTGGGCGCTCGACGAGTGGGGCTACAACATTGTCCTCTTTCGCGCTTCCCAAGCTTGTCCGAATGCGAGACTTGCGGGAGCAGAAGGTGCAGGAAGGCTGGTAGAGGCAATCAAGAAAACTGGCAAAATGTACGTCAGCGGCACCTCGTGGAACGGCAAAGGCGCGGTGAGAATAGCTGTCAGCTCATGGCTGACAGGGCTCGATAAAGATCGCAAGGAATCAGACGATGACTTCAACATTGTGACAAGCACCCTCGAGGAAGTCATCAGGCAATAGAGTTATCCTTGTTTTCAAATCAGATTCATTCGATGCGCTTGCTGTGCTTTGTTGCTTGTCGTTCTTTCATGTATCGCATGTCAACCTCCAAGTATGACCTCAGAATGTGCCGTCGGCTGGCTCATGCAGCCATCTGTTGAGCATGATCAGGGCATTTTGCGGCTGATCCAACGGCACGAAGTGACCGGAGCCCTCAACGATGGCAAAGGTGAACTGTGCATTCGCAAGGCAGGACCAACGTGGAAGGACGTAAGCACGTGTGCCAACCTTTTGCTCAGCATGAGTCATACTCACATTGCCATAGTTGCGGTATGAACCGGCCTGCTGCCCATCGTGACCGATCCAAGGCTTCAGTTCTTGCTTGTTGAATTCCTCCTTGCCGCTCCATTCGAGGTCCAGAGTCCAAGCCTCGTTACCTAGGAAGTGATGGACGGCCAAGACGATGCTCAGTGCCAGCTTGATTGCATATCACACTGCCTGCTCACCAATGTGGTTGCAAATGAAGTCTCGCTTGCCAGAATAGGCGAGCACGCGCACTCCATTTTCGAGCAGACGTTTCACTAGTGGCGATCGTAGCCGATCGTCAGCAGACTATGGCTTCGCAAGCGGCCAGCGAACTCACCAGCCCATGTGCTCTCTTTTGGACCATCAGCTGTCGAGTCGAAATTCTCGTAGACTTTGTCGGAGCAGCCGACGAACACACCATCGTGATGGTCACCAGCGCCGCGCTTGTCGATACCAAGACCCTTCTTCGTGTTTGCGGCGTTCAGAAATTGTGCTACCCACTCTTCTTGCTCGTAGTCTCCCCAATGGGCCCAGTCATAGGTCGATCTGCCGGTGTCCGCCCAAGGTTGTTGCAATGAGTCTTCACAGTAGAGCGTTGCAGCTGCGCAAGCCTTTTCGTCATACCGGCCAGTATGAGTAGGCTTGTTGCACCTACATGTGTTCGTTGACGTGAAGGAGCGTAAGTCGTGCATGCAGACGACCGAGCTTGGCTACGAGCCAGTCATTTCAACCAGCGCGACTCACTTGTCGACGAGCGCAAGGCAGACCGGAACCGCGGCCCAAAGGTCGTCGCATTGCTCCTTGGGGTAGAAGATGCCATAGCCGCTCTTGTTGGAGCAGGCGTAGTCCACGTATGCCGGGAATTGGTGTTTCGGCGAGGTGATGCCATTTCCAATCAGTACTGACTGCAAACGCACGCCAGGATCAGGTATCAGGTCAGGACGCCCTCTACCAAGCAAAAACGCGGGCATAGCGCATATCGCGTCGGCACTCACGGCAAGAGGTAGGGGCTCGATGCCGCGCTCGGGGTGTTCTTTGGCCTCCTCATTATCTCTCAGGAGCTGTTCCGCAATGTACGGGATCCATCGGCCCGCGTAGCTCTCTCCTGCGATGTGGAAAGTGGAGATGCCTTTGCTTTCCTCGCCGTCCTTGGAGTAGATGGACTTGGCATGCATGCCCCATAGCTGCAGAAATGCGCTCGCATCACGAGCAGCAGCGGCAGCGTCGTATATGCGCCCAGGAGCGTCATCCTTACGCGTAGTGTTGGCCCACGAGGCGTAAGAGAAGCCCACGCCTACAGGCTGGTCTAGGAACAGCATGGTCGCGTTGTTGTTCCACGACCAAGGGTTCCATTCTGTGTGAGGACCTTTGCTGGTGTTGAAAGGCGCAGCATTGCAAGGCCCAAGCTCCATGAGCAGTCCGGTAAAGCTCGAGCAGCCCTGAAGAGAGCATTAGTCTAGGTCAGCTAGGGTAGTCCCGAGTCCGACCGGCGGCCCGATCGCGAATACTCAACAGGTCCTCCATTCAGCCACAAAGAGGTGGGATCCACGTGTGGTCGACCGCTACGAGATTCGAATGCCCAGAAGTAGAAGTGCTCGATGGTAGCGTTGGGGTGTTTGCCGCCTGCGCTAGCAAGGTCGCTGCCGTCCTGATGGCGGTGGAGCGCGTCCACGTCCACGTCGAGATAACCCGACCACGAGCGAGCTGAGCTGCGCTCGCAAAGATCTTTGGGAGGTTCAGTGAACCGCAGAGTGTGCGCGGGCACGCTGGGGTGCTTGACCAGAGTCTCAAAGCTGTCATGTTCCTCGGACAGGCTTACGGTGACTTCAGCCTTTGGCAGCTCAGGGTCCTGAAGCTCTGGCAGGAAGGGGATCTGTGCACACAGCGCCGCGAAAGGAAGGCCTGCACACGCGGCAAGAAGCAAAGAGCAGCGCATGATCGAAAGATCTGCCAGTCACGAGTGCGATAGCGCGAGGGGAGTCAAGCGTCTGCAAGTCAGAGGTCAATAGGATGATGAGCGTCGGTGACTAGGGAGATGAAAATGTTGAATGCCGCTCCTTGTGGTTCTGCCCTCCACCCTTCAGACCTCGTGCGCAGCGTGCAAGTCAAGAGTCAAAAGTCAAACTCATCAACGCCGACAAGCGCAGTCCCGCAACAAAATCGAAGCACGTGACGCGCTTCTCTAGCAGGAAGCGCCGCGCGCAGGCGTAGACGGTACCGGTACACGCGCGCTGCGTTCAACGGCTTCATTCTTGATCGACGGTTACGGTTGAGCTTGAGCGACAGCGATAGCATATATGCTGGGCAGAAAGCAGTTGCTCGCGCATTGCTTCTAGCATCCACCATCCACACGCGCCGTCATCACCGTGTATGGCCGCAGCCATGCGCTTCCCAGCAATGATGAATGACGACATTTCCTGAGCCTGGAGCAAGCCAGGCATCAAGTTGCCGCAAAGCGCACACACACTCTTTTGACTGCACGCGTTCTCCCCAACGCAGGGGTCGCTAGTCGCAAGCATCCTGCAGTGCGCTCTCGACCTCGTTGGCCAGTATGCGATGGCACATCGCCATGTAAGTGCGCGACCAACGGTCGATGCTCTTCATTGTAAGACATTCTCCCTGCACCCAGTGCTTCTGAGGCTATAGAGTTCTCACCGCGTGCATCCGACGCAGGAGTATGGGCGTCAGGAGTATGAGCGTGACTCAAGTATGCTTTCTCCTAACCTGCTGACCAGGCCATCGCTGATGGCCAACTTGCGCAGGGTGACATCCGATACAGCATCACCGTCATCACGCCTCTCTTCCTCAACTTCCATTCTCACGCGTCTACACTCCAGTGAGCGTTCTGCCCTCCCCCTTACCTCTCACTTTCCCCTCCCACATCCCTTCAGCAGCTCTGCCTCGTCAACGTATCTCCTCTTCGCCCTCCCAATCCCTCGGCCCGGACATCGCGTTCTTTGCAACAGCATAGTTTTCCTTGCGTGGCAACTGATCTCGGTGATGGCGCTTTAGAAGGAGAACGCCCTCTCAAGTCCCGATCAAGTCAGCCCGTATGCCATAGACTGGCATCTCTCCGACGACGTAGGGTAGAGCTCTGCCATCCAAATGCCCGAGGCGCAGCGCGCTGTTGATGCGCGCCGCAAGGCCTCGCACAGGAAAAGACATGCACAAATCGCAGGACGAGGGGCGGACAAAGCTGGATGGTGGTCGCAGAAGGATGACCCTTCTACAGAGCAATACTCCCAGAGGCAAACCAAACAGGAGCCAGAGGCAGACCCGGACGCTCGCAATGCATCTGCGAATCGAATGAAGCTCAGAAGAGCCACTCCATTTCGCATCGAACAACGGTCTGTGGACCATGACCAGGAATACTCAAAAGCAAAGCACTCTTCTCACACCGCACCCCGCTCGTCCACTCATCACTCGGCTTCAATCTCGACGCCTTGTCCTTCTGTACCAAGGCATAGTGCAATGCCTTCAGCTCTCACATCCAGCACGACCATCACCGATCGTAGCCCCGAGTCCAGCAGTGATGTGTCCGCCGACTACCATCCTGTAGCAAATGATCACGGAGCCGGCTGGCAGCTGCGCCCTAACACACCGGCGGGTGTTGCAATCACGGTCTGCATCATCATCCTACTGTTATTGATCTTGATGTCACTCTGCACGCTACTCGCTCGACGATGGCGCAAGCAGCCATCATCCCAAGGATTGCAGTTAGCTGACAGGACACAATCAGCATCCTTGAAGGATTGGCGCACCACGCGGAGTGAAGTTGGATACACGGCTGGCGTCTCCACAAACGAAGCATCAAGACTCGGGGCCTTGTGGCAAAAATCAAGCGAGGTCGTCACGAAGATGAAAAGAGCCCTAGAGGCAAGATCGAGGTCATCTCGAAGTGAGCGCCGTTCGAATCTCGGGGCCACGGGCAGTCCTGTGAAGCTTACGGATGCGGCGAGTGGTTCAGCCGGGTCCTCTGTGCCGATGTCCGCATGGAGCGTGCCGTCATCGCCCCTGGTCAGTGACGCGCCGACGGGAGCGGTAGCGACTGCTGTCCGCACTGCTTTCGGCTTGATCGAGCAGTATCCCACACGACTACCTCAATCACAGGCAAGTCCATCGCTCTTGTCACCTGCAGGCCAGACGAGAAGTCCGTATGCGTTTGCTGGAAGTCCAAACATGAGCAACTTGCTGGATCTGAACTTTGCTGCGCCAGATCACGAGCGCAACAAGGGCGTCAACTCAGGAATGGCTGTATCGAGCGCTGCTCGTCCCAACCATCACCTCTCCTCCACCGCACGTGGAACCAAGCAGCGTCACGCTTTCGACACCGCTGACAGCCCGAGGCTGCCACCTCTAGCAGTCTTTGGCTCGCCAAGGCGTACATCTGTCCTTGCTTCGCCTCAGCTCGGCTCGCAGCCGGTCAATGAGGGCAAAGCTTCGTCATCTCGTCCGAGCTCTGCAAGATTGTCTCCTATGCTAGGTCGTCATGGCTCGGCTTTGCGCTCGCAGTCAACGTTGTCTAGAGGAGCTCAGCATGAGTCCACAAGCGGCCACCTGCAAGCAAGAAGCACACAAGGGGCAGAAAATGCGCGACCATGCGTCTCGGCTGCCTTTGTAGGACTTGGCATAGGCATTGGCCGCGCGTTCGGCTCCCAATCTGACCTCGGCCTTGCCAAATGCCAAGCTACCGACATTTACGAGACCGCACCGCCGAAACGCGGCTTCATGGTGCCAGCCGACGATCAGGAAGACCTCTCACAGCTTGCATCAGCATCGATCAGTACTTTCACAGAATCCGGCGTTGCTGACGCCAAGCACGATCCTACTCCCTCTGTGAATGCCTCAACGGCGCACCCAACCCACGAAACCCAAGTAGAGGCACAGCAAGGTCTGGACAACGAAACAATCGAGCTGGGCCTTCTTTGGCAACCTCTGCCAAGCGTGGACTCTTTGCGAGGAGCCAAGTCTTTTCGGCTGACGGGTGAGCCTTCAACAGACGGCTTTGCGCAAGAAATTCCTTCGGACAACAAGCGCGATGCGGTCTACGACCTTGCGGATGAAGACTCTGACCTCGCTGCTATCAGCGCTAGCAGTAGCGAGAGAAGCTTTACAACGCTTGCGGATGGAGCTTTGGTCTCGAACCGGGTCCTTGCCGCATTAGAGGCGGCTGGCATGTCCCCCTGCGTCGAGAAAGCGAATTCGCTCGACCTAACCACCGTAGCCCAGGAAAACTCTGTAGATGCGGGCGATGCCTCGGGCATAGTCATCTTCGCTGGCAACAGAGTGCCAGCAAGGCTCAGTGATGCTCAGGTCAGCCGTCACAGCGCAAGCACGACATTCTCAACGGCTCCTGGTGATATCTCTGTTAATTCGGCTTATGGAGCAGCCATGAAGAGTGTGCACGCCAGACTTCTACGTGCCAGTGCAGTAACCCGACGAAGAGCAAATACTGTCGTGCTGCCCATGACCAGTACGGACCCCGGTAACGTGCGTACTGGTCGAGCAAGGGCTCACTCGCAGCCAAAACGACGCTTGGCAACCATCGACGATCCCGATTTCAGTATGCACACGCGGGCCTCTGACGCTTCGCTGCGCCTCGGTCGTTTTAATCACCGCACACCGCCTGCTTCCGTCCAGAAAAGTGCAGTAGCGCTAATTCAAGAAACGCCGCAGTCGATGTATTCGATGGCCAGCTACGTGTCTGTCATGAATGGGCAGAGATTGTGGACCGCATCACCAGAAGCTTTGCAGACGCCAGACCCGCTGCGGGCAAGGACATCGTCTTCGTCCTCAAGGGAAGCAGCTATCACCTCTCCTGCGGCTTTCCAGGGCACTCCGGTCGACCTTGCAGAGTGCTCTACGCCACTTGCATCCAAGATTGAGCCACACTTGACGAAGAACACAAACCTGCCCAACTCTTCGCAGCTCAGATCGTCGTCATCACAAGCCGAAGATGCTTTATTGGCCTTCTTCGCGTCCGACAGTCAAGCTCATCCGGCTCCGGCTAGTCCCCTCTCCGATTCTGCATCCACGCCGGTTGCGACGCCAACATCTGACTTCCAGCATCGGACGCTTTCGATCGTGAGCGTGGCGTCTGACATCGCACCCAAAGCCATTCTTGTCGACACAGGTGCGGGACCCGTGCGTGCACCTATTCATGGCGCCAATTGGGACTTTCACCGACCTCATCGCGTTGTGGCAGCCCCAGAGCGCCACGCCTTGCCCTCCGGCCCAGCGCGCGCTGTCTCCGTCAGTCCAACCTCCTCGCCAACTGCCAGAATCTGGGAGCGAAGAAGCCTGTCGACACCTCCACGTACAGTCCGGCCACGCACGCTAAGCGGTCCAGAAGCAGCAGAAGTGCTTCGTGATGCCATCACCCTGCTACAGAGCCGAGAGCGTCCTTTGCCTCCTTCCAACTCGAATCACACTGCGGTCAACAGTATCAGTCTGAGTACTTCGGATTCTGGACAGAGTCTTGAAGTCAAGGCGCAGCTGCTCTTTCAGGATGTCGCATCAGCCACTGGCAAAAGCTGCTCGACTGGACCCTCAATTCGCTCTTGGAGCGATGAGGAAGACGAGCTTTCTCGCATGAGTGCTGGTCCGGGGCCGTCTCCTCTGGCAGCACACCGCTTGCTAGCTGTGCAAAGAAAGCTGACGCAACACCCGCGCAAGACAACACGCTCCCGATCAGGATCATCGCCCACCCCTGTGCGAACCTCCGCTCCTTCAACGGAGGTGAAAGGGAAGACTTACTCCAATTTGCGGCAACGAGCTTCCACAGAAGGCCGCTCTGGTCGTTCAAAGCACCGCGAAGCCCAACAAAGCCGTTCTGCACCCAGCGCCATTTCTCGCACTGCACTGACTACGAATGGCCAGGAGACAGCCGCACCTTTTGATGATCGGCCTCCACCAGATCACGTCACAGCCGCATCTCTTGCTGGCTACCTGAAAGAAGTATCAAGCTGCCCAGGCTCACCTCAGCACACGACTGCAAGGAGTGCACTCCGACGTCTTCATCTGCAGCCGTCGAGGATCCCGAGGCCCATACCCAGAGAACGTCTTGTGACTCAAGCAGCACCGCCGCCATCCAATCGCTACGTACACGCTAGGAACACTTCTGTTCCCGATCTCCACGCCCTTGTCCATGTTTCGGAAAATGTTGCAGGCATCGGGGCGCGACGTGATCCTAGCAGAGGTCAAGGATCTGCTGTAAGGGTCGATTTCCAGAATTTACAAAGCCGGAAACGCCGCGCAACCGCGGAGGCTGGCACGCATTGCAAAGCGCTCAAGTCATCCTCAATCGGACCGGTCTCAGTGCGGCGAGGTTTGGTCCCGCTTCAGCTGGTGACCGACAATCTCAGCCCGAACACTGGTCGTAGCCGAGCGCGCGAGAGCGACTATGCTAGCCCAACGATGCAGGTGAGAAGAACGCTCAGGCTACTGCGTTCTTCTCTAGCGCTGACATCCTCATTTGTGCCCAGGTCTTCCGTTTCTACGATTCACGTCGCAGCATCATTGAACAGCACTGAATTTGGAACATTGTGCTTCAACCCCCCATTCTCAGCTTCAATACCTCGTGATCGTCTTTCCTCGCATCTTTTCCTCTCCTTTCACAGCCCTGTTTCTCCGCCATTCCAGTGCTCTGGCCACCAAGAGCTGCTCGTACGTGGCAGCTGTAGCCTAGCCGATGCGCCTGCTTGTTCGATCCTCGTGCTTCTCCAAAGTCCCACACCTACGCTCATTCTTGACTCCGCACTCTCGCTAGATCAGCACACACATCCACATTCACTACTCGACTCTAAGTCTGTCGCCGCATTACATACCCAGCTCGCTGCCTGGCGACGCTGCACCTTCATTCCCCTACACCTTGCTCGGCCTCGCAAGTCCTACTAGACTGTATTTCAAATCGCTGCGATTATTGCATGCTCATTCCGTTCTCTTTGACGTGATGAAGGGGGCGAACAGCCACACTTTTGCTATGTGGCTAGCGCTTGGTGAAGGGCGCTCCGCATCCTTGGGCTGATTGTCACGCCGTGAGCTTCGTAGGTGTTCAAAACCTGTCTCAAGCCATTTCGAAGGGTTTGTTGGAGTGGTGCGGCATTCTTCGACCAGGCAAGAGCCACTCGTTGCTGTGCGTGATCAAGCGCGCTAGGGCCTACCGGCAAGGTGCTCTCGGCTGAGCTCCTTGCCCCTGCTTTTGGACTTGCACGCTTCTCCGACCGATTCGCTGCCTGGTCGGCAGCGACGGCTTCAGCCTCCGCTTCTCGCTGCCACTGATTCAAGTCTTTGAGGAGCTGTGCGCACGCAGCAATGATTTCTTCCGAACCTGCTCTGGTGTGAGAAGCCCCGGCGAGGCTGACGCTCCCGTAAACGTCTTCCGTCACGCTAAAGGACAGAAGAGACGTAGCTGCATGTGCTGCCCAAGCACTTAAGGCTGGACTTGCAGGGACCAAGCTATCCAAGAGTACCACGTTCGATGTTTCCCATGCAGCGGACGACGGCAAGTAGCCCAGGATGAGGTCCCTCTGCGTGGCTGGCAGGAGGTGGAAGAGCGACTTGCTGGCTGCGAACGCTGTACTGATCACCGACGCGAATGCCGCAGCAAGTGGATTCGCTTGCTGGCTGGGCGTGGCTGGAGATGCAGTCTGCTCCTGAGCACTGTTCGACTTCTGCGGGACTCCTGGCGTGTTGTCGGGTGCGGAGGGTGCGAGTCTGTGCAAAAGTTGATTCAAGTTCGGATCCCTATTTTGCAACATTGCAGACTGCACAGCCGTCGAAGACCCTGCTGAGGTGTTGCTGGGCCGAGGAGGGGCGGCTGGTGCAGTTGAAGATGCCGTCGGACTGATACTGCCTGCTGAAATCAATTTCTCCCACAGAGATGGAGCCGGTGCGCGAACAACGGTCTGATTCGGCACCAGCACGTCATGCTTCGCTCCCGTCGATGAAATCCGCGGCTTTGCGCTAGGAGTTGCGACCACAGCAGATGCGCTTCCAGCAGCAGGAGCGACGGGCTTGCCTCTCCTGACAACGAGTTCCCCCTCAGACTCGAGCACCGATAAGCACTCCGTCGCAATATTTGCCCAAGCGCTCTTGCGGCTCAATGGCAAGGAAGCAATTAGGGCTGCATTATTGACTCCATCTGCCAGCGCTCCACTAGGTACGTCGCCAACGTCTTTCCACAGAGCTCTCCTC